TGAGAAGAAGGCTTATGTCCGTCTTGCTCCAGACTATGATGCATTGGATGTAGCCAACAAGGTGAGAATGGAGACTCTTGAATTTTCTCATTTTCATCTGCCCTCTCTACTCTGCTCCAGCCAGACCGTGTTTTGACATACAGCTGAGATCAGGGCTGTTATTCTCGGAGAGTGCTGTGCTGAAGTAGGGCAGTAATTCCTGCGCTCCATGTGGAATTGAATTTCTCACCGATTCTTAGTAGAATTCTTAGTGGTCACTGGGCTAGAGCCGTTAGACTTAAAAAGCCTTTAGGACGTTTCATACTAAAGTGGCTATTGACCCTGACCTCATAAGAAATGACAGGAAGGGGAAGAGGTATCATAATTGATCAGTAATGTTATCGTTGGCTTCTGTCAGAAATGTACTCGTGCAGGGACTCTGGGATATTGATCAGCTAGGAACAAATGGCTCTGGAGCAAATTCATTAAGAATGAAGGTATTGGTCATGCTCACAGCCCAACATTTTGTCTCCCTAACTTAACCAGCACTTTCAGCTGGAAGAGTAATTCCTCACTTACTCTCTTAATAATGCTGCATAGAGGTTGCTGGCAAAGAATGTCTGTTTATTCCCCTTTTTCCTCCAAGGAGAGGGGCTATATTGCAGTAGGGGTCAGTGATCATGTGTAGTTGGTCTGGGAAATACTTTGGGATGAAACATGCTCTATAAATCTTGCTTACAGTCTCTTAACAGGGGGGGAATAAATCTTTGCGCTATTCTAAAAGAGCTTCTCTGACACAACTTAAGCTGTCCAATGACTTGCCAGGTGTTGAGTAGAACATGCCAAAACACCACACGTTATACAGATACTCCCGGCACTTGCTAGGCCAGGGTAGAATTTTTGTTGCTGGGCTGGGGGAAGAGCAGTTAGTTCTACAGCGGAATAGGAGCATGGTGCCCCTCAAACCAGCCTTGGGGCCTGCCTCTTAAACAGGATGGTCAAAAGTGGGGGTAACAAGCATTTTAGTAGGGCTGTTGTGCGTCTTATTGTGCCAGGCTGTTCTATGGCAAATGTTCATCTACTCATGTTTGTTGTAGACAAGATTAGGTGCTGCAGGAATATTGCATTTGCTTTGTTTGAGCTAGAGCAGACGGGATGTTTGCATAGGAGTAGAGCTTTTGGGGGGAGATGGATTCATTGCCATTGTTCTACATCTTGGCATCTCCATCTTCATGTGGTCAGGGTTCAGGCTGTAACATCATTCCTTTTGTTTCCTTTCAGATTGGAATAATCTAAAGTGCATCCACCAAGAGCCGGGCAGATGAGATAATAAACTTTTTGTAAAACCACTTGTGGGCTCTTGTCTTCTGTAACGGAGTGCTCTCTGGGAGACTTTTGGGGCACTTTGCACAATTTCAGTGGCTTGAAGCATACATAAAGACTGTATGGGGCAATAGCTCAGTTTCATGCAACATTACGGAAGTGGAAGACTCTAAATGCCATTTCCGAGGTGGGACTGTAAGGCTATCCCGAACACCTGCATCACGGCAGGCTTCCCGGGAGCTAGTCTGCAGGAATTTGGTGGTGGTGAAGCACAGGAAGAGGTACAGGGACATCTCCACCCCAGCTCATTATTCTCCTTGCACAAGACGTAAATCTCGGTCTGGTCTGTTCAACACGCGGCTCTTGTCTTACCCCAGCTACTCTTGCAACACATTGCTGCTGCTTTCATTACATGGAGTTTAAATACCAATGGCTTCTGATGCTGCTGTTCCCACTTTATCCCTAGGCTCAGTCAGACCCTGTTCAAAGTGCTCTGTGCAGCGTGTTTCACAAAGAATAAAAAGTTCATCATGGATCAGGGCTACATCCTTTGGTGGGTTGGTTTCATTTTTTTGCCTGCTGCTGCTGCCATTGTGTAACTCAGTGGTTCTCAAACTATTGTACTGACAACCCCTTTCACACAGCAAGCCAATGAGTGCGACCCCCGCTTATACATTCAAAACACTTTTTTATATATTTTACACAATTATAAATGCTAGAGGCAAAGTGGGGTTTGGGGTGGCGGCCGACAGCTCGTGACTCCCCGTGTAATAACCTCATGCTGGGTGTAGCTACTTCACTGATTTCAAATGAGACGTTTAGAGAAGTTCTTATGTTCAGTTCATCTGGTTGATCACAAGTGCCTTCACCCTGTCTGGCTTAGTCAGATACCAGCTTCTCTTCTAGAAGAACAGGAGGACTTGTGGCACCTTAGAGACTAACAAATTTATTAGAGCATAAGCTTTCGTGGACTACAGCCCACTTCTTCGGCTGCTACTCTGAAAGCTTCTCTTCTGTCAGACACACATGTGTTTTTAGTGGTAAAAATAAAGTCAACTGAAGGATGTTCCTGGGAGATTCCAGCTGCTCATGTACTGTGGGGGTGGGAGCCATGAGGGGAACCAAGTTTATTCAGTGCTTAGGGAGGTGTTACTGCACAGGGGCCATTGCATACAAACCAGAGCCAAGGGTGAGAGGAGGGCTGTCTTCTGACAGTGGCTGAAGGCCAGATTCTTGTAAATAGGGGGCAAATAGATGTTGCCCTCGCAGGATCTCCTGGGGGAAGATGTCTGTCTTGAGGGATAGGCAATAGGATCTTAAAACCTTTCCTTAGTTTTAACACTGCTGTAATTAGCCTCTGTTTACAATCTAGTCATATGGTCATCGCTATAGTATGTGAGCATCTCACAGTCTAACCATGCTTATCTTGTCACATGCCTAGAAGAGTAGTAACTTAACCCCACCTTTGAGCCAGGTGCAGGACCAGAACTCAGAGACTGGTGGCTCCCGGATGTGATGCCTTCATCTTACAACCACCCTTCCTCATTCCTACTCACAGCCTGAGTTGGCTCTTTCCAACTACTCCGTTATAGATTCACTAACACTACAATGCCCCTTTGATTACCAGCCCTTTAAAAATAAGGTTCATTTGGTTTTGTCTGGCATGAAGTGCATTATCCCTGCTGCAATATAGGGCTTAGTTCCCTTGCAATGCACTATGTGTGTTGTGCTAGCATTGAAGGCCTTAATTAGGTTCAAGGTGCTAATCCGGGCAGTCTTAAAACTAGCTGCTGTTGCTAACTGGAAATGAGGGATTGCCATCGACAAAAATCTTTAGTTGAAACCAGCTCTTCAAAGTGTTTGACGAATAGGTAAGAATGTGGAGTGCTTACCTGTGGTAGGCAGGACGTGGATGCAAAGAACAGAGATGCTAGAAATATTCTTGCCTAACACCCCCAGTTGTGAAGGGCTGGGGTACAAGGATAGGCACTGGAAGAGAATGGCTGAAAGCCCTGGCCAACCAATGAGTGATTATCTTCTGCCTTGTGAGATCCCCCCAGCAGTTGGACGCTGTTCTTTGCTTCCTGCCCCAAAGTTCTGGGTATGGTGATGTTTGCATTCCACTGTGGAGTGATCTGCACTTCAGCTAGGCAATGGTTTGTGTGTGCATGCTGACGCAAAAGTGCTGTGTGGATATAAGAGCTCTAAGGACCTTTGGGCAACATTGGGGTTTTTGGGCCAAGGTGGTGGTGTGAAACCTATTCTGATCTGTCACTTAAGGCTCAGACAGAGTTGACACTTCAGGGGAGGTTTCATGCACTGGGATGCCTGTGAGTCTCAGGCAGTAGAACTGGATTTTCAGGGTAATTCACCCCAATGTGCCTCTGGCTGAGACTCAGCAAATGACATCCTTTGACTTTAGTTCTCCCCAAAGAGGGGTGTGGGGGTGGTTATATGGAAACGGAGGTGCTGCTGATGGAAACCATCTATTTGGTGTTGGTTATTACTACAAGCCAGGGGGTGCAGTAGCACCCCTAGTTCCGGCACCACGGCATGGAAATAGTTAATCCCTTTTTCGGTAGGAATGATTTGACATCTCTAGGGGAGAAAACAACGTCTAAGCAAGGCATGTTCTGCTGTGAGAAAGACCGACGGTTCCCCTCTACAGAGGACTGGCTGAACCCATAGAGGGAAAGTGCACAATAGAGAAGCTTCAAAACCAGCTGTCTGCACTGCCACACCTTGGCTGCCTCCATGCTGTGCCTGGGAATCCCTCTGCAGAACTAGCCATACACCAGCAGGGGGGGAAGGACTTAGCTTTGGGGTGAGGCTCTGGTGGCTCCCCCATGACTCTGGTGGGTACAGGGAGATGCAGAAGGCAGGTGCCAGACTCCAGGGAGAGCATTCCATGGGGCCTGGCTGGCAGCTAAGGCGGGGGAGTGTTAGCTGGGCATTGCGAAGGAGAGCTTGGATTTTCTTCTGCTCATGACAGCTCCCCAAGGCTGTGGGTGCCTTTGAGAATCCAGCCCAATGCATGGGGGAGCCCCTTGGCTAGCCTTGCCCGCACCTGTACTGTGAGTTCCTAGAGCTGCCCTCCCCCCGGAGCACTAGGTCTGCTCTCCAAAGGTGGCCTGGCCAAGTGGCCACATTGGCCAGCCAGAGTCAGCTTCGTGCCCTGAGCCTCATTCTCCACCAGGGCTGCTGGTGTGAATACTCTGGTTGTAAGGAGGCTGGCCAGAAGGCATGTGACCCTCTCTTTATTTTTCTTTAGGGCTGAGTGCTGCTAGACTGTTCTGGGCTGGGCAAGGCGGTTGGGATGGGATGAGAGCGGCTGGCCCTTCTGCTCGCGTCAGGCAAGCAGTCCCACGAAGCTGCTGCTGCTAATGCCCCGGGGCTGGGCCAGGCTGTTGCTGTATCATGTATTGCATTCGCCCAGGTGAGTGCAGACTATACAGGAAGAACCAGGAGCCACTGAGCAGCCACGGGCTCAGGCTCTGGAGTTTGAGAACCCTGCCTCTGTGCATGCAGCACCGGCTGCTGTGCCCATGACTTCATGAAGCACAAACTCCCAGCATGCACTGCACTGCCCACTTAGAGTGATGGCAACAGGGGTGAGCTTAGATCTGACCTGTCATTCATTATACCCTGCTCCAATTGGCAGAGAAGGGCACGTGACCAGTTTCCTGCTCTTGACTTCCAAGCTGCGTGTTCGGCTGCTGCCAGTGCAGGGAGGAGAGTGAGGGGTGGTGCCAGGGGGAGAGTGCGGAACAGCAGAGCCAGGCTGGCTTCCTCCATCTTCACCTTTTCCACAAGCCACGGCAGCATCCTTGCCTGTCTCCCAGGGACACGCAGAAGCTTGAAACAGTGTCAGCCAGGGGCCTTCATTTGAGCAAAGCTTCTGTAACCCAAGAAGGGCCCTCACGAAGGAGAAGCAGGTATGTAGAGGGGGCCAGAACTGCCGTGCGTTTGGGGCCGAGAGGAGGCAGCTGCATTTCATGTAATCATCCATAGCCGTGCCTCATTCAGCCCAAAGGCCAGTGCCACTCTGGCATAGCCGCTAGCTCCCTGCAGCTTGATTGCTGACCCTCCTGGTTAACCCTGGCCTTGAGTGCAGGGGTCGTGGTGGATAACGGAGACCCTCTAGCGAAAGCCCCAGGGAGCCAGAGGGAGAATCCAGGCCTCATTTCCAGCACGGCTGCTCACGCTGGGGCTGCCCTTGGAACCCTCCCAACCCCTGTTTGCACTGCAACACACCGAGCCACCTTCCCAGCCAGGCTCCCGGCCAAAGATTTATTCTGGTAGCCAAGTGCACGGTCTCTGTCTGCAGATGCCAGCACCAATTTGTCTCCCCATTGCTGCACAGGAACTCCCAGAGCGATGGCCTTTCACACAAGCTGCACATCCCAGGCCGATCAGTTAGCATGGGTGTTGGAGCAGCCTGTGTCTGCAAACAGCCCTGGCTATCTCCAGCCAAGTTCTTACCCACTGCCCACCAGCATGACACCTGACCACATACACAGCTCCCTCTCTGCTCCAGAAGTTAGCCCTGCCCTGTATTACGGCTGCAAAGCAGTGACTCAGGAGCATGCATCAGCCCTGGATGGATGCAGGAGGGAAGATGAGGGAATGCACCCAACTGCGCATGAGGCCTCTGGCTAAAGGTGAGTCCCAGGCTCACCACTCCTGGATTGGACCATTGGAAAGGGGGCAGCTGCGCACACCCCACTCCTGACCCAAGAACACTAGGGGTCACTGGATTATTTTTAGATAAGCCTTGGAGCCCAGCCTACAGCATCTGCCTCACTGCTTTGGGTGGAGTTGCAATAGCATGAATGGAGCTGCCAGGCCAGTTTCTCAGCTCTACGGCTTGGTGCATGGCCGCTCTGGTTGCAGGGCTAGCCTTTGTCCTGGCTGGGTTCTCCACAGGACGAGCCAGTCACCACCACCACCACCACCTAGCGCCAGTGTGAGCTCTGTGCCCTGCTGTGGCCTCTCTTCAGCAGAGTTCCTTCATTCCAGAGCCCTGGTCCTCCCTGTCTGGCCTGTCCCTAGATAGCACCAGCACTGGCCAACGCAGCAACTGGGTGACAAAGACTATGCTCCACAATGCCCCTCTCCTCTGCCCCTTTGCTCCTGTCAGTCCACGTCTTTCCTTTCTCTGCAGCCTTCATTGTTCAATGCTCTGCCCACCCTGCTAACCGCCCCCAGAATCCTGCTGACTTCCTCCCTTCTGGCTTCACCCATAGCTTCCCCCCCGCTGATAGAGCCCTGTGTCTCTTCCACACCAGCCCCTGTGGTCCCTTCTCAAACGCTGGGCCCCTCCTACTCTGCCCAGAATCCTGACAATCTTTTCCAGCAAAATTCACCACCTGGCAGCTGTTTCCCTCACCTGCCCCTCGACCCCCTTACTCCTCCTCTCCTCCACTTAAACATTCCTCCCATTCTTTGGCTCCTTTCCCTTGGCCTACAAGTGGACACTCATCTCCTCCATCCAGAAAAACCTCCCCCCAGTCCCACCTGCCTCTGCAGCCACTGGCCAGCTCCCTCCCTCCCAGTCTGCAGAAACAGGGTATCTGACACTGAGCTGCAGGTCAACTATCGGGGGTAGCCATGTTAGTCGTATCCACAAAAACAACAAGGAGTCCGGTGGCACCTTAAAGACTAACAGATTTATTTGAGCTGCAGGTGTAATCTCTGGTGTGGGCAGACAGATCCAGCTAGCATGCTACAAGGAGCTATGGCTGCCCAGGCAGTGGGATGGGCTAGCAGCCCCGAGTACAAACCCTGCCTATGTACAGGGGCTGGCCAGGACCCGCCCCTACACTATTTTCAGGGCTGGACCTTCCCTTGGAGCTAGTGCGGGTCTGTCTACCTGAGCCAGAACGTCAGCTCAAGCGTAGACGTCTGAAGGAGCTTGGGCAGGGCAGCGAAGGGGGGTAGAGGTGACTGACAGCATCAACAATGCGGGGAGGAGGGGAAATCTGAAGGTAAAAGTAAATGGGGAGAAAACAAGTACAAAGCCCAACTGTTGTCAGCTCTTATGGACAGGCACGGTCTGTTCTTTGTCCAGCACCTCGTGCAGTGGGGCCCTGGGCCGGATCTGGTGCTCCTAGGCCCTTTGCTAATACCAGTGATAGAATCTGCCCTGCAGAAGGAGGGGAAGTACCAGGGTGACCATCTGGAAAGCAAGGGGCAGGAGTGAACATGCACCATGGGAACTGGGTGAGCCCAGACGCTCCCTTGGAGAGCCTGCTCCGGGCACTGGCTAGAATAGACTGAAAAGCCAGCAGCCCGGTTCCAGGGCAGAAAAGTCCCCAGCCCCCACAGCAGATACTACGGGCCCCTCTCCCACAACCATCCTGTTAGTGAGAGGCTGATGCTACTCCCAGCACTTTAACCCTGCATGCCCCAAGCACCTGCGTATCCCACCTCCCCCGCCTCAAAGCCCTCTGCCCTAGCTCTCCATGGCCTTTGCACCCACTGCTGTCCCTGCCTTGATGGCTCTTCCCCCTCAGCGTCTGTAACAAGCTGCTTCCTTCCCAGCTCAGTGCGCGCTCTGCCCCGGGAAAGGATGGCCCAGATGTGCTGCAGAAGCTTGGAAACAGACACGTATTTAATGCATGTAACATCCCATCACAACATGGAAGATAAACCCTCTTTCCCAACCAGCTCCATCCTTCCCCTCCTGCTTTGCCTGCTGGGACCCCAGCCCCTGGGAGCAGCGCGGGGCAGCTCAGGCCATCGCGCCACAAAGCACAGGCTTCGTGAAGTGACTGCAGAGCCCTGTGCCGGTGGAGCTCAGCTGTAAGGCACATGTGGTGCAGAGCTGAGGAGGTGCAAAGCGCCCCAGGTCCAAGCCCTCCACTGCAAGGGGGGGGTCTGCACAACCCCACAGGCGCTGCCCCTTCACTCAGTCCACTAAGAACTTCTCCCCGCCCGCGTCCTTCCCGGCGCGCCGCCTGCAGGAGTCTGGGAAGAAGTCGGAGCGCAGCAGGCGGGAGAAGTACGTCAGGATCATGGCATCCAGCAGGAAGAGGTTGACTATCAGGAAGGCTCCCTGACCCCGCACCTCCACGTAGCGCACAAAGTACCAGGTCAGGTAGGTCTGGGGCACCAGGCGGAAGAGGAAATACATCACCAGGTTGACGTACTTGTTGATCCTGTAGAGGGTGGGAGCTGGCATGTTGCTCAGCTTCAGCAGCATGCGGATGGTCAGGAAGATGTTGCTCACCTCCACGAAGAGCGACAGTATCCCCGCTGCCACGAAGCGGCCCAGGAAGATCCCGGAGAAGAACGCTGAGATCGCCTGGCAGGGAGGACCCAGACACAGGAGTGAGGCCGGTTGCCTTCCCCTCCACCCCCCTGCCAAGCCCAGGCATGGAGCTGAGTGCCTGACACCAGGCCCACTCCAGAGGAAGGAGATTAGAAGGCAGCCAGCGAGGGGGGAACCCCTCCAGCTCAGCTGCAGGGCTGTGGGATGGGCCCGAGCCATCTCTCAGGAGCGAGCAGATTGGTTGAGCTTCCCGGGGCTCTAGACACAGTCGCATGGCCACCCCCCTCTCACAAGGTTAGTCTAACCCAGCTGGTGTCCCAGCCCGGATGTACTAACCAATCTTTCTGTGCATGGGAGGTGGGCAGGTCCCTTGGGCTCTTTTCACCACCTCCAGCTTTACTCCCCAGGGAATCACTCGTGTGTCCTGTTGACTGCCCCATTTGGCAGGTTCCGGCTTCTGCATGCCCACCCTGCTGAGCACACCTGCCACGCAAGGAAAGCTGCAGGTGAGACTCGGGCAGGGAGCTGCTCCGAATCTGGCCTTGCAAAGGAGGCGTAGGCCCATGCCCCTGAACTTCAGCCCTGCATCACGATCTGCTCAACTAACAGGCCGCGAGGCCAGCACAGGCCAGACAGCCCCAACCTCAGGGACTCGCAGCCCTAACCTCCTGTGGGGCACCCATCCTGCCTTCCCACCTCCCCGGGGTCACTGGTCAGTTCCACTCAGCTGTGGGTGTATCTGGAAAGAGCAGAGTCAACTCAGCTGGGCTCACTGCAGGGGCCTGTACTTGCCATGGCATGGTGAACCAGGTACTCCCAGGAGGCTCGGGACTGGTGGCTCACAATGATGTCGAGGGTGTCGTGGATGAAGTAACCTGAGGAGGGGAGGGGAGGCGGAGAGCAGTTTCAGTCCGAGGTGGGGGGAAGTTACACTCACACCCTGTGCGTCTACAACAGACCCTCCATTGAGAGCTTTCAGCTGTCACCCAGTGCCAAGGCTAGTGAGATGGGGCTGCATTCAACAGTGCTCCCCCCCCCCCCCATTAGTAACTAGCCAGGTGGGAACTAAAGTTGGGAGGAACACCCGATGTCCTGACTGACACTCTCAGTAAGGCAGGTTCACGCCTCTCAGGTGCATGCGTGATCACCAAGACTAGTTTGCCCACACACCCCTGTAGTTACCACAGCAAGCAGGGTGGAAAGGGATTCTGGGAGCATCTACAGAGGGTAGAAGCATGCACGGGGAACAAGAGTGAGATCGTCTCTAAGGCGGGGAACATGGTCTGGAACAGGACGCTGGGAGCAGGAGTGGCTCTGTCTGGAATGGCTCGATGACTGTGCCGCACAGTATGGCAGCAAAAAGGCCTGTGCAATTTTAGGTGCCTCAGCCTCGTGTCATGGAGCAGGGAGGCGAGTGCCCCTGTGCACAGGGCTCGCTGTGTCTGGACACCACCAAGGTCCTGAAAAGCTGCAGGCAGCTCAGCAAAGAGCAAGCGAAGCGACCAGGGAACTGGAGGAACCGCAGCTAATTAGCCACGCCACAGATTTAAATCTGTAAACAGTCACTGAGGAGGAACAGGCCAGACAGCTCTGTGGATCTGAAGATGTCAATGCCTAAGGAGGAGCACTGTTGTGGGTGGGACCAGGGCGTGTTACACGAACAACAGGATGGAATTAAAGCACAGGTGAGCTGAAGGCTGAACACCATGAAAGGTTTTTGAGCAGTGAGGGGAGGGGAGCCTCTCCCCACACTGCAGCCCTGAGCGCCTGCGTGGTGCTTAATAGGCGGCCGCGCAGCTTAAAGGGAACTTCGGTGAAAGTTATTGGGCTGTACAATACTCTCCCCTGGGATGCAGCAGAAGACCCAGCACGTGGGACTTTCCAGAGTGACCTGCACAAAGCCCTGGAAGGGATGCTGTTGAATCAGTCCTGCATGGAGCTGGCTGGGGCAGCAAGATGGGGAAGGTTCTTCCAGCTCCAATTTCAGCACCTCTAGCTGAAATGCAGCACACAAGGCCCCTGCACTGGGGGAGGAAGGGGCAGAAACCCCTACCTGCAGAGAAGCAGAGAAGCAGGTATCCCGAAGTGGACGAGACGTTTTCAATGTCCATCAGCATCTCAGGAACCTGCCACACGCTGGGGAGGGGAGAGACACGCAGAGAGGTGTGTGGTTTCATATAGTCTGAACGTAGCAGCCCTCCTCACCTCCCAAGTGTCATGGTGAGGGGCACGGGCACAGTTCCTCTTCCTGCGTTACTCGTGGCGAGCAGCAGTAACTCCCCCAATAGCATGAGCGAAGAGAAACAGCAGGCCCCTCAGCCAGCCATTCAGCTCCTTCCAGGGCTGAGCGGGAGCCCAGGACGGGCCTAGGTTGTGATTAATTAATTAATTGATCAGTCAGTCGGTACAGTAAGAGTCCGATGAGGCCTTTGATCCTGTCTCCTTTGCTTAGTGGCTCATTGCTCATGCTGCAGGGAATAGCGAATGCTCCAAGCCCTGCTTGGAAGCGCCTGGACTCCCTGGGACCTGGCACATGATCAGCTCAGCCCTGCCTCCCTCTGCCAGGCGGGTACACGGAGTGCCCCACTCAGTGGAGGTCGCCTTGGCAACAGAGCGCCCCTTGCCATGTGTGCCCCTCAGGGCCCTCCCTGCAGACCAGGCCCGTCCCCCCATTCTGGTGCAGGTGCTATGCACCACTTGCGCTGCGTGCCCGCTGCTCTCTGGGGGACAGGGCGGGGATGCTAACGGGCTGAGCGGAGGGGCCATGCAGCCACACCACACAGCAGGGCCGTTCTCCCTGCGGGCAGAGCCCCGGAGCAGGGATCGGATATGGCGCTGGGGGGGGCGGGCTCGGGCACTGAGCAGAGCCCATGTTCCGTGCAGCACAACCGGCCTAAGGCCTTTGCGGGCACCGCAGCAGAACAGCCCCTGGGGACGAGGCGGGGCCGGGGGCAGGTGCTGCTGGCTCAGAGCGGATCTGCACCTGCCGGGGCGCCGGGCTCGGGGCAAACACCGCCAATGAGGCGCGGAGCCTCCGAAAGCGGCTTTGCGGGAGCAAAGGGGAGGCCTCGGGCGGCGGGGGCCGGGCCGGGCTCGGCTCACTCACCACAGCACGGCCCACAGCCCCGTCACCACCGAGTGCACGAAGGAGACGAGCAGGTTCCGCCAGCGCCAGGCGCGGGTCGGGTCCCGGCACACCTGGGCGGGCAGGGGCAGGCGGCGCAGCCCCCGCTGCAGCGCCTTGAAGAGCAGCGTGGAGCCCAGCACCAGCCCGGCCGCGCGCAGCCAGGGCCCCATGCCGCCGCCGCCGCCTGGCTCCCCGG